TGGTTGCCGCAAGCCTGGGAAGCCCTTCTCCCGCCGGGGTCCCTGCCGCTTTGCTCTGGGTAGACCCCCCCCCCCGCGGTCTCCTTTCCCGGTCTCTGCCGAGGACGGGCTGCTCCTCTAACCGCCCAGGGCGGCGTTTCCTCCCGCGCCGCTTCCCCAGCTGCACCGGCCCGGCCTGCGCAGCTGCGGCGGAGACGCGAGTCGGCGCCACGTGGGAAGCGAGGTAGGCGTCGCGGCCGCGGGGCGGGGCGGGGCGGGGCGGGGGGCGCCTCCTGTGCGCGCGGGGCTCTTCCTCTTCCTCGGGCTCTTCCTCCCGGCGGGGGCGCGGCGGCCGCCTCGTTGTCCGGGCGTGGCGTGGGGTTGCGTTGCGTTGCGCTGCGCTGCGCTGCGCAGCGCAGCGCACTTCCCCTGCGCGCTTCCCCACGGAGCCCGGCTCGGCCGTGCCCGGCGCTGGCGCCCCCCCCCCCGCGCAAAGCACCCGCCATGCTGCGCGCTTGTGTCCCCCAACAGCCCTGCGAGGTAGGCCAGGCCGAGCCGCCGCGCTGCAGCAGATACTCCCAGTGCCGCCCCAGGCGGGCGGGCACCAGGACCCAGCCCGGCCGGGCCTCCCTCGCCCCGCTCGGGGCCAGGCAAGCCCCCCAGCCGGTGGACGGCCGGTTGGGGCCTCCCGCGGTCTGCGCCCCCGCGGCTTGTTGGAAGGGGCTCCCTTGCGCCGCCCCCGGAAGCCTCCCGGGAGGGGCGCGGGCACGACGCGCCGGGCAGGAGCCCAGGCCCCCGCGGACGGACGTCACTCTTAGCAGCCGCCCTCGATTTGCTGCCCGAGCGGGATCGATTCATTACTGCTGATTTACGAAACTTGGATTCCGAGGCGAATTAGTCCGTGGGGCTCTGCAAGTGGATTGTGAAGAGGCCACGTGGCGCTCCCCTCTCAGCCCAGGCGGTGCTCTTCCTTCCCTTGGCCCCTTGTGCTGTTTGTCCCCATCTTTAAAAACGTGCAAATACCTCTCCCGGCTTGGCTGCCAGCTCAGCCCTTCGACCTGCAGTAAAGTGGATAATTTTGGCGCGTGTGGCCCTGACCCCTTTACGCCCCCCCCCCCCCCAGCTAGTCTCAACCACATTTCCAATGTGGAATTTCGACCTTGGGATAAAAAAGGTTGAAAAGCAGTGACAGCCAAGAAAAGCAGTGCAAAATTTGACACTGTGTTGGGTGAATGGGGGCTATGGGTCCACCCTGTGCTGCAAACTTATTTCTCTTTATTGTGTTTTAATTTCCCCGCTGTGGGGGTTTTAATGTGATGTTTCTTTGTGTGACCGAGCCTTTGGCCACGTGACTTCATCAGGTTTTTGTGAATGTCAGTTACCTTGTTTTGGCATTGGGGCTATAGTATATGAATTTTAATTTAACATTAATTTTAATGCTATCAGACGTCGTGGGGGGAGACTGCCCTCAGACGAAGCCTGGGGATATTTTAAATGAAAGCAAAGCAAAACATTTCAACAAAAGCATGTTTCCTGCTGTACAGGTTGCAGACAAACACAGATTCTCTTTTGTGTGTGGTGAACCTGCAACCGCATGAGAATGTTCTGAGGGTTGGACCTGTTACTGTTAAAACACATTTGGACGTTGCTTTGAGGGACCCCAAAGAGAAAGCCAGCTCTAGGGCTGTTGCCAACATTTAGCTTGCTTCTGAGACTTGTCGGAAATACTGTAGTTGGTTGGACAGGAGTACAACCTTTGAGACCTTTCTAGCTCTAGAATCCTATGATCTTATTGTATTTCTTTTCTGGCATGCAAAAATGGAAGTGGCCAGGCACTGGAAAACCCTATCTGACTATTTAATTTCAAGTGGGTTGCCCCTTTAGGATTGGATGCATAAAATCCTATACATGTTTAGACAGAAGCACAGTCCTGGAATTCCCAGCGTTTCCCAGCCAGCTCTCCTGCCTGGGTCTCCATTCTATTTTGGATGAGCGTGTGTCTTTTATTGGGACTGCAAGATGGGTGGCAATATTGGCTGGAAAACCGAGGCCGAAATCTGAGGCTTCGAATCCTCTCTTGAAATTTGTGGGGGGGATAAAAAGCGCAGCTGGTAAAAGGCCCAACCGGGGAGCAAGATCGGCTGTGGCCGAGCACCTTGTACAATAGCGAGCCGATAAACAAAACACGCGAAGCAACGGCTCACACCTGCCCACTCATGTCCAAGGCAGAGACAATGCCCGGGAGGCCAAAGCTGGCGGAGTTTTCCAGGGCCGGGAGCCGCCGAGCATGCGCTTTGCAGCGGAGAACAAATGGCAGCGGCGCAAACAGTTTGTGGCGGACGAATGCCTCCGAAGATGCAAGAGCTTTTCTCGACCAAGCACGGGACTGGACTTGCAAGCCCCTGCTCCAGCTGGCCCCGTGTTCGGCAAAATGTCAGGATGCGGCCCAGGCGGGCCGGAGCCCTGAGTTCCCGGCAGGCCAGGAGCTCTGCCAGCCTTGCTGAAGTGAAGGTACAGCGACCCTCAGGTTCTCTGCTGCAAATGGTAGCCCTGGATTCTTTGATTCCCCCCCCCCATGCGTGCCTGCCCCTCTTGCTACCCCACCCTTGAATTTTTGTGCCTGAATTTGTTTCCTTAAATCAAATCCTCTGCCCATGCTTTTTTTTTTTTTTTTTTGCAAATGCAGTTGCCCTTAGGAAACAAGGTCTTTCGAAGATCCGTACACAGAGACTTCAGAGCCAAGGTACCTTAGATACGCAAATCTGCACAGCTTCCTGTCTTGCGGGCCCAAGCCCTGGATCCTTTCAAACCTAGCACTGGCCAGAGATTCCAAGTAACCCACAGCTCTCTGGACGAGTGGTGCGGATCGCCAAGATCCCCAAAGGACTAGAACGTGAATAGTTCACAAAGAGATTGTGCAGCGACAGCTTTTTCCGAACGCGTGAGTTGCACAGGCTTCAGGCCCAGCTTTTGTAGCTTTTCTAATTTTACACAGATTTGGCCATAGAAAAAAATACCAGGAAAAAAAAGACACTGTCTCAAAATGCACATCTCCTCTGCACAACTGAAGTGTGAGCATGTGGGATATTCCAGTTCCCTTCAAAATGCACAAGTACAAATTTGTGCAAATACTCATGAATGCATCTGAGCAAAATTCAGTCCTGTCAGCAAGAGGACCATGGAATGAGAAGCAACTCACAATCTGCACAATGTAGACAGAACTGCTTTAACAAATCCACATTTCTCTGGTCAGTCGCAGCAGATCAGAAAATGCTTCTGGTTTCCGTCTCCCTCAGAATAGCATCAAGCAAGAAGTTTTTTCCTCCACCGAAATAAAATAAATGCAGAAGAAGAACACCTGGGAGAAAATCAACAATGGATTCTCTCGTGAAAAGAGTGCTGTGCCTGGGTTCTGAAATGGTCCACTAATTCACAGGCTCTGCATATGCTCAGTGGCACCCTGTTGCTTAGCACTAGCTCAGTAAACATGGGCCTGCCCAAGCCGCCAAGCTGCACGGCCCTGCTTCTGGCCTGCCTCCCAGAGCGGTCGGCATTCATCAGAACTGCCTTCTGCAACCTGGGACGCCCCAGATGCTTTGGATTCCAACTCCCATCAACCCTACACAGCATAGCCAGTGGCTACACTGAACACCATCTCCTCTAACTCCAAGGCCTGAAGATCTCGGCACATCTCCTGCAGCCATCCGTTTTGCCGCTGCTTTTTATTAACGGCACCCTTAACGGTGTCCTTATTCCTCTTGCTGGTTTTGTGCCATGCTTTCTCATTTCACTTTTGTTCGAATCGTGTATATATTTAAGGACCTCTGGGAGTTGGCAGCTGAGTTGGCAGACTATTATGCCTCTATTATATCTCTATCCCTCGCCTTTCTCCCATTGCGGAAGTCAAGCGGGGTACACAAGTTTCCCAGGGTCTCCCCTCCAAGCTCAGGCCAGCTCCAGGCCATATCTGGCCACTGAACACCACGGCCCCAGACTGCGTGGAGGGCAGGCAAAATTGCCGTGGAGCTGGATTCTAGTCTGGATTCTGTACTGGGGTACCAAGAGCCAGGACGCTCAGCCAGATGTCCATCAGCACCACGGGGGCTCCCACTACAGCAGCCGCATGAACGAGATCCAGCCTGCCCTCGTCCTGGGAAGATTCGGGGACCACAGCGTCCCTTAGGAGCAGCGGCCATTGCTGGGGGCGGCCAGGAAGTGCGTCAACACACACACACACAGCAAAGAAGCCTCCTTCGGCCGAGTCAGGCCATCATGTAGTAGTGCCAGCACTGACTGGCAACGGTGTCTCCGGAGATCTCAAACAGCCATTTTTCCCAGCCCTACTTGGAGATTCCGGGTGTAAACCGGGCACGTTCCGCATGCTTTACCCCTGAGCTATGGACCTTACACGAAAAACTAAAGATACCAGTCCTCATGATTTAAAGTAAGAACAGAGGAAGCTACCGACAGACCACTGGTGCCTCTGCTCCAGTGCCACCTGTGCCAACTGGCCAACACTCTGGACTTGGGGCCTTATGCAGGCTTGGAAGGGGTTCTGCCCACTCAGTCGCGGCTTCACCTCCTTGCACACCGTTAGGTGTCGTTACCACACACAGAACCACCGCCGGGCGTCCTGTTCCACGCGCAACAGGCATTCACAAGTGCACAGCGTTGTACTTACAGTCAGGAGACTCATTTTGGGAGCTCACGGTCAGGAATGTGTGAGCTCGCTCCCCAAAGTACAGGGGCCATTGAAAGGCTGCCTCAACTGCTTGGCATTTCAGGACACCTCGACATTTGCAACCCATCGCAAACCCTTCTGGGGGGTTGCTACACAAGAGGCCACGCAAGCATTGCAGCTGTTGCCAGCCTCCCTCCTGCGCACTTCCGGAAGTTGTGGAAGGGACACAAAGCCGGACGGACGCGACCAACTCGAGCCGGCACCGGAGGCTTTGCAGGTTGTCTCTCCGGCGTTCCAGAGCAGGGTGGCTCTGGGCTGCCACCACCCGGGGCCTTCTTACCTGGAGAACCCTCTTGGTCAAACCCGTTTTCTGCGCAAGCTGTTTCAAGTCCTTGGCATCCGGATTGTGGTTTATAGCAAAATAAGACTTCATTGTCCGCAACTGGTGGTGTTTGAAAGAGGTCCGCATGCGCTTGGTTTTCTGGTTGCTGGGGTATTGCTGGTCTCTCTCCAGGTGGTCCCCGTCGTTCTCGTTGCAGCTCAGGGCTACAGGGGAGAGGCGCAGGTCAGGCACAAGAGGCCAGGGGGCTCTCCCGGCCGCTCGCCCCCAGCCACTTGTCTCTTCTCCCCCCACGAAAGCCACCTGCTCCCCCTCCCACCCCGTCTCGTGCCTCTGCGTGCACACGCCGCCCTCTGGCAAAGATCCTCAGACAATACTGGGACAATTCCGCACTTTGCACTGCCCAGCCGCCTCGTGGGACAGCAAACCCGCAACCCACGCACGCACTCGCACGCACTCGAGCCTCAGAGGGGAGAGAAAACCTCATTCAGGGCCGCAGTCTTCTTTTTGTCAAACTCGGCTACACAAAATACGAAAGAGGGCCATTAAGTAATACGCTGTCTAAGGGGTCAGTGCGCAGGACGGATGGGGAGAAACTGTGTGGCCTGGTAACGCCTTCCAACTATCATTTGACGCAAGGCAGCCAGGTGGGAAGGAAGGGCTGTTGCAAAGATACAGGGCTGCATCAAAGACCAGATCAGCTTCAAGAAAATTCCTATTGCACCCATTACAAATCCGGCCTGGGGCCCCCGTTTTTCCCCGTGTGCTTCCTAGAATCAGCTTCCGTCAAGGTTCCCTGGTATGGCCGCAAAAAATTCACTAATGAAGCTTACACAAAGAGACAAAGAAACCGTTCAATAATTAACCAAAAAAACCAAACAAAAACAAAACCCGTTTGCACAGTGAGCATGATAGGCACAAATTAATTTAAAAGGGAAACGAGGCATGAGTGTGCACCTTTCAAGCGCCACATATGCAAAGTACGGGGAAGCGCGAGTCATGCGCCTGGCCTTTGGTGCAACCTGCCGTCCACTGGCTACTTCAGTGCTCGATTCCTCCCGAATTCCTCCTCTCTGTCATTCTAAGGTTAAAACAAGCCGTATAGCGAAAGGGCTCCTATTCTGTTCTTCTTTAATAATTATATTTCCACTCTACCCAAATGACTAAAAAAAGGTGGGGAGAGAGAGAGAGACGGAGAAAGAAATCAGATAAATATCTGTCGGGGGAGTGTTGAAATGTGAATTATTGATCCGGCTGTCTAAACATATCTGCCCAGGCTTTTAAAATTGTCCATCATCACAGATTCAACATACTTTTGATATGGATCTACACTGACACAGCCTTATTTCAAATGCAGATAATTTATCCTATTGGAAATTACTGAGTAAATAAGGAACCCCCGGAAGTCAACTGCGGATCTTAATATACCGAACTAAGTTATGGATCATCTGCAGGCGGCAACCAAACGCTCACAAACATGTAGGGCAAGACCCGGGAGCTGAACTCAGAATAAAGGGCCATTTTCCAGGGCCACACTGGATCAAAACACAAATCCTTCTTCCTTCACAACAGTCTCTGGCAACCCCAGATCTCAAGTGACTGAGGTGGTAGCACATCTACACGCAGCCTGACCTTTTTTTGCCTTCTGAATCTGGTAACTGAAAGGTAGACTTCCTCTGGAGAGGGAAGCTCCATTTGCAGCTGTCATCCAGGAAAGACACAGGTAGACCTGTTGTCTAAACTGTCAGGCTAACTCGGCATCGTTGGCCTCAGAGAAGGCAGCCGTGACAGAAGGGAGGGGGTTTTTGGGCGAATGGGAGCTTCTTAGCTCCAGGATTTCTGCATGAACTGGACTACCTAGACCTGGTCACTGGCAAGAAACATAGAAACAGAGAAGGGGCTTCCCGGGCCATCTAGTCTGACCTCCGGCACCAGCCGGCTCCGCTCACGACATGCCCACCATGCGCATGTCCAGCCTGTCCTTGAACACCCTCACTGACGGGACCTCAACCACCTCCCGAAGCCCATCCCATCCCCTAGAGATGGCTTTGACTGGCTTAATGGACATCTGTGCTGGGAACTCAAGAGGAGAGGGTCTCCTTGCCGGATCTCGAGGCAGCACCCGACACCACCAGCCGTGGCGTGATTCCGGGGCTTCTCCCTGGACTAGGCAGAGCTATGGTGTTGTGGCTGAGGTTCTCCTTGGAGGAGTCCTTTCGGAAGGTGGTCTTCCAGGATTCCTACTTGACCCCGTGGCCACTGGTTTCGCCGTCCCTCAGGCTCCTATTTTACGGCCTGCACGATTTAACAGACAGATAAGCCGAGTGTGAGAGGCGTCCAGAGCTTTGGGGTCTGGTGCCTGCAGGGTGTTTCCTGGAATGCTTTCCATCGAAATCTAGAGGCCGCCCCGAGTCAGTGTCTGGGGTGTCTGGAAGCTTCCCTCAGTCGGTCGAGGCAGAGGTGCCCCCAGGCAGCCAAAGGGGAGCTAGCCGCCCACCTTTCGGAAGGGGTGGGAGTGTCTCTCCTGAGCCCCTTCCTTTCTGGCCACACGGGCCTTGGCCACGTCCGGCTTGGCTCGCTGCAAGGCGTTCTGCAGGGGGCGCCTTTGCGGTGGCCCTCAGCGCCAGCTGATTCGCGGGCCCTCGTCCAGTCGCACCGGGCGGCTTGCAGGGCACAGCCGGGTCCCTTCGCCATGTGCCTGTCTCTGGGCAAAGCCCTGGCCAGGACCTTCCAGGCCCTCGGAGGCTCTGGGCAGGCCAGCCTGCAGCACGAGCCCTGTGCCCGCATCTTAAAAGATCAAGCCCTTCGGAAGCCGGTTTAGCCAGGGTGCAGACAAGGGCTTCCGTGCGCCCTCGCTCGGCTCCACCTCTGCTCTTCACCCTCTAGCAGGAAGGCCGCTTTTCTCCAAGCAGGCCCTTGGTGCGTAAGCGGCTCCCGCAGCTCTCGGGGCTGGGGGTTGCTTCCTCTCGGTCCTTGTGGTGTTTCTAATTGCGCCTCCCCAGATGGGCTGCGTGGCTAGTCCAAGCCCCCCCGCCCCGCTGCTGGAACTTTTGGTGCCCCTCAGCCTCTGAGCTCAGAGGACTGCCCCCGGGGGGAGCTCGGTCCAGCAGGACAGCTGATTTTGGATGGGGGCGCCTTCCCAGACCTTGCACCCGGCAGCGCCAACCTTCTCCGCTCCTCGCCCCCTTTGCCCTCTCTCTAAGGCGGGTCTTCCGGCCCGGAGAAGCAGTGGACGTGGGTCTTGCGGCCCCGGCTGCGGGGGGTGGGGTGGGGTGGGGTGGGGAGGGGACCAGGGCCCCGCTCCCCTGCACTGTGGGTGGAGCTTTGCTTCCAACGGGGATCTGGGAAAGAGATGATCTCGGAGCCATGGGATCGCGCTCCCCATCAAGGTCTTATTTTTCTGGGCTTGTTGCTATCTGAGTGTCGTTTCCTTAGAAGATAGGAAATGCATCACACGCACATCAATTAAATAACACCGGGCTGAAGCTGCAGAGTGCTGAGTCACACAGAACGCTTAGCCGGCTTCCTCGGTGGTCCCGTGCGGCTCAAACGCGTGCTCAGCACTAATTGACTCCAACGCACGTGCGTGTAGACGCACATACGCACAGCAGCCAATATCAGGGCAGCGATGGTGGAGGCAGGATAAAATTAACCCCAACCTGATCCTCCAGACGGTGTGGTCAACACTGGGGCCTTTGCCAGGCGCCACTTCAAGGGAAGCTCGGAGGGCGGCAGCAAGCGGGATGCTGGAAGTTGCTGGCCTGCACCAGCGGCGGGTTGGACCCGATGACCTTCTTGACCCCTTCCAACTCGACTATTTTATGATGCTAGATTCTAACGGGAAGAGTGTGAGAGGCAGTGTGGTGTAGTGGTTAAGGGCATGGGACTGGGACTCAGATGAGCTGGGTTCGAGTCCCCGCTCGGCCATGGAGCCAACTGGGTGACTTTGGGCCAGGCACAGCCTCTCAGCCCAACCTACCTCACAGGGTTGTTGTTGTGGGGAGAAGATGGAGGAGGAGAATGATGTCAGCTGCCTTGAGCCCTTTGTCGGAAAAAGGCAGGATATAAATTGATAAACAAACAAGCAAACAAATAAGAGTCTTCTCTGTGGTGGCCCCCAGTTGTGGAAGGATCTCCCCATGACAGCTCATCTGGGCCCAACACTGTTATCTTTTCAGCACCAGGCTAAGACGGTCCTATTCTCCCAAGTATTCCGTGGCACGACGGGGTGTTTTCATCAGCGGTTTTAACAAGTCTGGTCTGTATTAAATTGCTTTAGGTGGTTGGAGTTTGTAAAGCGCTTCCTGTATTGGAAAGCAGCCACTGCTTTTCGGCTCCTCCTGTGTGTCGGTGCACTGGGCCTTGCGGATGGCCGCGAACGAACGGAAGGCTCTGGGAGCTTTACGCAGCTATTGGACAGGACAGAAATGAAGTCTTCCTAGTCACTGCCCTCAGCCCCGCTCCGGAGCAGCCCTTGCCTGGCAGTGCTTGTCCGGCCCACACGCCCTGAGCTGGGCAGGCCACAAACCCACTGGAAGAACCCACCAGAGAGCCACCTGCATTTTATTGCAGCCAGGGGGCGGGGGGCCGGACTTTCCCGCACTCAGTGTTTTTGGATATGGGGGGAAAGGTGCTCCTTTTGTGACTGGTTTTATTCTTGTCAGTTTTGGAAATTTAAGTGCAGATGGCGCCTGCGTCCAGCCCAGGGTGGCAGTGAGTTCTCCCAACCGCTGGGACGCAAATCAGCCATCCTGAAGGCCTGGGGGGGGGGGCGGTTGGAAAGGCGGCGGCGGGGGACCTCATACGGGGCTAGCAACAGACGAGTCTGTCTCCTCTGGGCAGCGAGATGCAAGGCCGTTGGCCAGCGAGACTGAAGGGGGGGCGGGAGGCATCGTGAATCCAGCACCGGACCTGCTGGGAGGTCTCGGCTTCTCCCGTGCCCCGCGCGATGAGGGTGCGGGGGAGCCACCCCCGCAAGCCTCGGTGGGAGCCGGAGGGGCGCGTGTCGCCCCTGCCGAAGCCCGCGCGGGGCGCAAGGGACCGCTGCCCTCCCCGGGTCGCCCCGCGCTTCCTGCGCCCCGTCTGCGCCGCGTGGGGGGCCAGCGCCGAGCGCAGCGGGGGCGACGCAGCGCACCGGCGGACCCTTGCGCCGCAGACGCCGGCCTGGCCCGGGCTCGGTCGGCCTTCCGCGCCCGGCTGCTGCGCCACGGACGGCGCCGCGCCCCGTGCCCCCCCGCCCTACACCGGACCGCCTGCCCACGCGCAGCGCACTAACGGGGCCCTTTTCGAGCTGAAGGACCTGCCGGCCCGCGCAGACAAAGGCTGGATCCCGCCTTTGTCTCGTCCTGTGGCCGCGCAAGTAGTCTGGACAGCCATTCAGCCTGGCCGGGGCGAGTCAGGCGGGGCGCAGGGTCGGCGGGTGGGGTGGGGTGGGGTGGAGAAAGTGGGGTGGGAAGACAGGCGCTGGCTTGGAAGGGGGGATTTCCGCGGGGAAAGGAGGCAAGCCCCGTGTCAAACGCAGAAGGTTTGGGGTGAGGAGGAAAGTAAATATCCTGGGTTTTATTTTCCGTCTGTGGCGAGATGATAGGCGAGGAGCGCGGCTCACGAAGGCTTGGATGCCGCCCGCCCTCCCGGGGAAACTGCTAGATTTAGCCTTCTGGCTCCGGCGGTCCTGCTGCTTTAGGGTCGGGCTACTGCTTGGAGCGGTGTTTCGTGCTTCGGGGCTGCAGAGGGGGAAGCTGAGGCCGGCCGGGCGGCCGGCACCCCGTCTCTGGCTCTCTCTGGCCGCCACCGCCAGCGCGCAAGCTCCGCGGATCGGGCTGCCCGCGGAGCCTGACACAGGAGATACCTGCCGCCGGCCCCTGGGTGGGGGAGCGGGCCAGAGAGGCGTGTGGGGCGACGGCCCGTGGCTGGCTCCCAAGCCGGGCGCTGTTCTCCAGCGTGGCCTCACCCGCGAAGCGCCCCGGCCCACTCACACCGTCCCCCGCAGCAGCGGCTCGAATCGCTCGGGGTCCGCAGAGCGGGGCTTGGCCTCTGCCGGCCCTCCCGGTGGCCACTGGGCACCTCTCCACCCACAGCCCCTCCCCAGTCCACCCAGAAACCGCCCCGGTGCCTCCTGCTGTGGGCGCCCTGGCCCCGCTCCGCCAGTTCAGCCGCTATGCACACGTCTCTGCGCCTCCCCTTTTCCTTGCGGAAGGCGCCCGGGGCAGCTCACGCCCTCCTCTTCCTCTCCGTGTGATCCTCACCTCCCCCCTGTGAGAAGGACAGGCGGAGAGTCAGTGAAAGCTCCAGGGTCTGGCTGGGGATGATGGGAGCCGCCCCAGGCCAGGGAAGGCGGCTTTAGATGGAGAGGCTGCCATGCCGTGTCTGGGGAAACCAGCCCGCCTGGGAAGTGCATTGGCTGCTGCATGGACTGGGCCTCAGAAGACCCGGGTTCAAATCCATGCTTGGCCGTGGGTGACTCGGGGGGGGGGTGGCTCTGAGGATAACATGGGGAGGAGGGCTGCCTATGCCAGCTGCCTTTCCCTCCTGGCAAGCAAACAGGGAGCGATGTCCCAGCACATCAGTACAGAAAAGCCCCTTCTACCTTCTTCGAGGGCGTGGGGAAGACTCGGGGAGCACGACAGGCATTCAGAGTGGCCGGCAGCCCCCCCGGGTGGGAAGGGTGCAGCTACCATGGGCAGAGAGCCCCAGCCAGAGGCTGGCACGTCTGTGGAGGGGAGAGGGGTCTCCCGCCAGGTGCCCTCTGGATGGAACTTCCAGGGCTGGCACAAGTCTATCTCTGAAAACCTCCAGTGTCCCCACTGGGAATCCAGATACAGCTGGAGCCTTCTGCTCACAAGCAAGGTTATAGGGAAGTTCAGGAAAAATAGGCAGAGCGGATTAACCTTCCCTCCTCTTCCTCGGGCCCAATGACTGAGTAAATTTGCTCCGTTTAGATTCCCAGCCATCCAATGACAGTTTGTCCCGAGTTCACAACTCAGTGGGGCTTGGAGCACCCAGATCTCTGTGATGAGCGGGTGCGGGGGGGGGGGTATCCAAACATGGACTCTGTACCTTCTGGGAAAAAACCTTTTCCTGCCCCCAAAAGGCACCAAGCCTCTGAACACCGGGGACTTTTCTTCAGAGGTGCCCAGGAAAGGGATTCCCGCACACGACCCTTTTCCCCCAGGAGCGTGTGGGTCCCAGGCAAGTGGGGAGCGTGCCCCACAGACACCCCTCTTCATCTATAGGTCCACCCTATAGGGGGCCTTCTGGCCAAAGCTCTGCAATTTACTGGGAAGGGCTTGCTCCCGAGTAGACATGCAGGATTCGGCCCTCATCACCACGCCGATCCTAACGTGCCCTCCTGGGGGAGCTTTTCTCATCCTCGACGGGCCTGCACGGAAAATCATGCAATTTCCTGAGCAGATGCAAACTGTGAAGATGAGGGGGAGGCAAGAGAGCCCCTCTCCACACGCCGCTTGCAGGATCAAAAGGGGGGGGGGCTGCTGCAGGGCACAAAGAGAAGCCACCCTTTCCCCTAATATATATATATAGTCTCCACAACCGGAGAATATGCTGTGCAGTCATTTCCTTCCACATGTGCTGTCTGAATTTTTGGGGGTGGCTTGGTTAGATTGTGGGGGGCTCTTCAGCACCAAGCAACTCCACGCTTTTCCTGTCTCACTGGTTATATGTGTATTTCCCCTGTGCTTTTTTTTTTTTAATCATTCTTTATTTGGTAGGGGGGTGTTTTTATCCAGATCCTCGCCCCAGATGTGTTCAGCCATTGACGGAGCCCCCCCCCCCGGCTCGCAACACCCGCTCCACCAAACTAATTTCTCTGAAAAGAAACACCACAAAGCTCCCTCGTTTAGCAGCTGCGGGGGGTGGGGGGGTGGGAGAAGGCTTGGGGGACCCTTTTGAAGTCCGGCCTCCCCCCTTCTAAGCCGCTTTCCACTTGTCAGACTCTATCCGCGTCTCAAGGCCTGCAGCCGCCCCCCCCCCCACAGCCAACAAAACGGGCTCTGACCACGAGGGCCGGCCGACCCGCAGTTGGCGCTGAACGTCGGAACGAGTTTCGGCCCAATCTCTTTTTTCTCCTCTCCGCATTCTGAAGTTTTACCTCCACTGGTGAGGGAGGAAGAGGGGAAAGAGGGGGGACCCCGAAGCGGGTTGTCAAGATTTGGGCTGGTTTTTATTTAATCGGACGCGGGTCGGTGAACGATCCCTTGCTGGCCAGCGGCGGGAAAGCCGAAAAGGTCGTTTAGAAATGGTGCGCTGTGCAGAAACGAATTCTCGGCAGCTTTCTTTGCGCGGCAGAAGCGCCTTCAACCGACACGAAACGACACGGAAACGGGATCCTGCGTTCTCTCCCCCGACACGCACTCCTCTTTCAATTGCAAATATTGCGGGGGGCTGCTCCCCCCCTCGGAGCTGAAATCGTTGCGCTTCTCCTCCGTTCTCCCCGCTTTATTCTAATTAAACGGTTTTGCACAAAGAACCGACAGCGGCCCTCGTGGGCCCGGCGGGCGCCCAGGGAACGCGCAGAAGGCTCCGCGCCGAGGGACGCCGGGGAGGGTCCTCCGGGGATCGCGGGCAGGACGGGCCGCTCCCTCTCGAGAAGGGGGCGACCCGGCACTCGCTTCAGGGGGCCTTCCCCCCTCACCCCACGCCTCCGCGCCGCGCTCGTCCGGAGGAGGCCGCGAGGCTGTCGCCAGCGGCCTTACGAAAGGCGGCTCAGGCTGCTTCGGGCACGGGGGCCGCCCGCGCCCGCCGCCGCCGCCCCCAGACCAGCCCGAGCCCCCGACCAGCCGCCCCACTTTCTGCCACTGCCGAATCGCGCCCTGCGCTCGCCCGATTTCGAGGTGCCGTTGGCGGCTCCTTCGCCCTTTCCTTCGCCCCCGAGCAGGGGAGGCGCAGCCGCTCAGCCGCCGGGGAAAAGCGGCCTGCCGCCCTCGCCCTCGCCCTCGCCCACACGCGCAACGCGCAACGCGCAGCGGAGCCCGCCTCTGGCCCCGCGGGCCGGGAGGGCCCCGAGCAGGAGAGGCGCAACCGCCCAGGCCGCCTTTCCCGCGCGGCCGGCCCCGTCTGCGCCACCGCGGCCGGCCCGCCCGCCCGGCGCCCCTCCGCGCCCCGCCGCGTCTCGCCGGCCTTACCTGCGTTGTAGGCGGCGAGGTCCGCGCCGGGCCCGGGGCTCTTCCTCTTGCGCGGCCGCCCCTTCTGCACGGTGCCCACGCCGTTGAAGTAGGGCAGCCCCAGCGGGGCGGCGGGGCCTTTGCCCGCCGGGCCCTCGCCGTGGCTGAAGTGCAGCTGGTACTCGCCCTGCAGCAGCGCCTCGAAGTGCGGCCGGCAGTAGACCAGGCCGTCCTTCATGCCGAAGTGGTCGCCCGTGGTGAGCATCTTGGCGCAGGTGGCGCAGGTGAAGCAGCTCAGGTGGTAGACCAGCTCCCTGGCGCGCATCACCATCTCCGAGGCCGAGATGCCCAGGTGGCAGCGCGCGCAGCGCTGGACGGAGAAGCGCCTGCGGGGGGAGGGCGACGGTGGGCGCTCCCCTCTTCCCGGGGAGCTCCCCCGGCGGGCCTGGCGCGAAAGGGCCCCGATTGCACCGGGCGTGTGCGGAGGCGCCCCCCCCCCCCCGCACGCCGAGGCTGAGCGGCTCCCGAGCGAGAGACGGGCAGGCTCCCGCAGCTCCCGGGACACGGGGCAACCCGCCCTCGGCTCGTCCCCTGCACTCCGCGCGTGCCCAGAGGGGCGCACGTGAGGGGCATTTCGGGGGACCTCAGGGGCGGCTAGGGGCTCTCCTCGGCACCTCCACAAGGCCGGAGGCCCACCGAGGGACGGCGGAGGGGACGGAGCGGAAGGCTCTCGCGGGTGTCCCGAGAGCGGGCCGCGAATCGAGCGGGCTCTCGCCTTGCCGTTTTCCCGGGGAACGCGCGCGGGGGGACTGGACTGCGGGCGGGCGGGCGGGCGGCTCCTCCCGCCCCGCAGCGGCCCGTCTCCTCGCAGGCGGCCTCCGGGCGCGGGGCGCGGGGCGCGGGTCCCAGGCGCGGCGCAGGGGGGCCGCCGGGCGCCCGGCCTTACCTGTAGTAGTCCTCCTTGCAGTAGATGCTGCCGTCCTTGCTGAAGCAGGTGAGCTCCGACTCCAGGTTCAGTTTACACTCGCAGCACTTGAGGCAGCGCATGTGCCACTGCTTGTCCACCGCCAGGAGGTAGTAGCGCTCCGAGATCTTGCCCCCGCAGCCGGCGCACAGCGCGGCCCGCTCGCTGCTGATGGACGGCATGGCGTGCTGCGGAGAAGACGCAAGCGGCCGTCGGTCGCAGGCCCGCCACCGGCCTGCCTCCCCCGCCGGGCCTACGGCCGGGGCGCCCGGCGGGCCAGAAGAGCCCCCGCGCCCGCCGCCGCCGCCCCCCCCCCGCGCGCCCGGTCTTTCTCTCGCCCGCTCGCTCGCTCGGGGGTCGCGCAGCGAACGGGAGGACGCGGGGTCAGGGAGGCAGGCCGGGAGGGCGGCCGCTGGAGAGCGCCGAGGCGACGCGGCTTCCCCACCGCCGAGGAGGCTGCGCTGAAGTCCAGAGCCCCCCCCCCCCCCCGCCGCCGCCGCCGCCGCCGCCCGCACGCTTACGCGCAAACACGCGCGCTCGAACGGAGCGGGGCTTGGAGGCAGGGAAACCGGCGGCCGGGCCGGGCCGGGCCGGGCCGGGCCTGGCCGGGCCGTTCCCCTCCTCTCTCGCCCTGCAGGCAGGCGAAAGGAAGGCACCAGCCTGCGTGGGGGGCGGAGGGGGCGGAGGGGGCGACAGCGAAGCGCGCCCGGATCTTCCCCACCCCAGAAAGAGGAGGCCGGGGCTGCAGGGCAGAAACGCGGCCGCCAGGCTCCGATCCAGCCAGGGAGGAAGGAAGGGAGAGAGAAGGAAGCAAGGAAGGAAGGAAGGAAAGAAGGAAAAATAGAAACGTGCTTTTAAAAAAAGAATTAAATTTCCTTCCGCGCGCTCTTCCCCTTGGACTGCCTGCTTTACGAGAAGGAGCAAAACGGACGGGGAAAGCGGAGCCGGCGGCAGAGCGCTCGCCCGACCGACCGACCTGCCGCTCCGGCGAGCGAGCTCCTGAATTTTCCGCGTTTCAGGGCTCCTGCCGCCGGCGCGTTTCCTTGCGAAGAAGGCCCAGTGGAGCGGCGGCTTACTTCGGCGTAAACATGGCTCGCTTGCAGCAGCAGCAGCAGCAGCTCCATTAAAAACCAGGCTGAGCATTTCGGGGAGCCAAACTTTGCGATCCTGCACTTGGTCTGCCGAAAGCGCAGTGGGACTTTCGATTTTAGGACACGATGCTAACATGCTTACTAAGAAATAAGTCTAACCGAAAACTGAACCACACTCGCAATTACCGTTAAACAACCCTCAAAAAGGTTACACTGCGACGAGTCCCTTTCTCTATTTCACTGATTTAAAAAGAGATGCATAAATGAAATATTTGTCGAAATACCCAGCGATAGGCAAATCCCATTATCCTAAGCTTGTTAAAAACAAAACACAAAACAAAACAAAACCTTAGAGGTGTCCTAAATATGAAAACTTTTAAAAAATAAATTTCTAGATTAATTACTTCGTAAAGACATGCATTTCCCTAAACCGATACATTAAAAAAGGAATGGGGAAGGGAAAGACTGGAAAAAGAAAATATCTGTTCAATATTTCTGGGGTGCCTAAATCCCTCTCAATTACTCACCCCAAAATTAAGGGAACCGGGACACCCGAAGGTTAATTGCTTCAATTTATCGGCTGTGATTTTAATGCGCCTCCAAACAAAACCGGGTTAAGAACAAAACTCAGGCAAACAAGCAAGACAAATGAACAAAAACAGAACCAAAGGGGGAATAAAAGACGCAGTTGTATATTCCATCTCCCCGCGCATTCCCTGCCCTGCCTCACAAGCACCAAGATTGTTGAAAGTTAAAATGGGGAGGGGAGAGAAAACCGTTGTAAGCATCAGGTTCTTGTTCACAAGCTGTTTCGATGCCATTTTCAGTGCTGTTCCCCCAAATAATTACTTCTTTCTAAAAGCTGCTTTTACAAATTTCCCCGCCCGAGGAGGAAATTTGCCTGCAGCCCAGAAGGCGCAAAGAAAGGGAAACGGCGGTTCGCTCTCCGCGGACGGTTCTCGGCCTGGGTCCGGACCAGTCCTCGCCAGTCCGGAGGATTTACGGGGAACAGAACCAGAATTAAACCCCGCAGTCACTGCCAGCCGGAGAACTTAACCTGAGCGAGGCTGGCTGGCGATTTGTGGCTTTTCGCTGGTTTCCTAAACTCGCAACACGGGGTGTAAATGCGCGCGTGTGACTCTTTTGAATACAAAATGGAGATCCTTCAACATTATTTATTTATTTTTCGGAATCTGGATAAAATCGAGCCTCTTCCAACCTCTTTCCAGCGGGCTCATTTAAAGCTTTTTTCCCCCTTTTTTTCAGATATTCACCCTGAGTTTACCCTTTCCGTTTGGGGTAATTTGAAAGGGGTCGTGGAAGAACGAAGAAAGGCATTTATCGCTTTTAATTTGTCCTTATTAGCCAGAAATCGCCAAACAGAACGAACGCAGAGCCCGGAAAGCCGAGCCGCTGGGAATCGAAAGTCGAGGCAGAAATAACGGTATTTTCCCATCTGGATTTAGGACCGATCCGGCGCGAGGGCTGCTTCGCCCACGGTTCTCCCCAACCATCCGCGAGTCGATCCTAACGCCGCGCTCGTGCCCAGAAATCTTAATCGCCTGCGCGCAGCACCAAAAGCCGAGCCCGTTCCGGAGCCGCCGCCGCCGCCGCCTTTCTCCCCGCGCGGACCGGGGCCGGGGTCGCCTGGCGGCCCGCCGCGCTCGCTTCCTCGCGGTGGGCTTCTGCGTGCCGCGGGGGCTCCGCGGCGAGGGCGCCGCCGACGGAGCGCCCCGCGGCCCCCCGCTCCCCGGGCGCGGGGCTCCGGCCTGGCCGCGCCCGCCGCTCCTGCGCCCCGTCCGCGGGCCCTACCGTCTCCGTCTCGCCGCGGTCGATGGCCGAGCTGATGGCGGGCGCGTCGCCCTTGGCGCGCCGGTCCATCTCGTCGATCACCCCGTGCATCTCGGCGCCGGCCAGGCTGTGGAAGAGCATGGCCGGGCTGGGCGGGGGGCCCCGGGCGGCCCCGCCACGACGCGCCCGCCCCGCTCGCCGCCCCGGTCACGCGCGCCGC